TTTTTTGAATCATCAAACTTTTCATCCGTTTTATTTTCGCTTAAAGGGGTGAACTTAAAAAAAAGGGCCACGAGGTCGGCTAGCCCTAGAGACAAGTTTTCAAACAAAAAAAAATAATTGTATGTGTAATGAAGGGCCACGGAGATTTTTTGGAGATAAGATGACCTATTTTTGACCCGTGTTTTGCTCATATCTCTGTCAAATGTCAAGGTATCGAGCTAAAAATTTTACCACAGCCTTCGCACTTCAGCCCCAACATATGCTCCAAATTTCAGCCAATTTGTATTGACCAGGGCTAAGATCGATTTTTCAGGGGGAGGGGGGCCTTAAAGCTTTCTTCATAAATTTAGCTGCCGAACAATAGCAGATTTAGGTCACCTTGAGATGAATTTTGGAATGTCAGATATTTCAGTGCTCACTTAGATTTCAACGAACTATGAACTGCATAAGGAGAAAGAGTGCACTTCAAAGTACTCGAAAATATCTTCACTCCTGTTTCATTGTCTTTAGAGTTGCTTAAAATATTCCAGAATTTGTAGAACAAAATAGCTTAGAAAGTTGGTCCTTTTCGTCATTTTGAGTATTTTTCGTTTCATTTTTCTCGCTAACTGTTCATAGAAATAAGTTGGATCAAGTCTTGTAGAGATTCTGACGGTGGATCTTTTGGAAAAACGATCAGGTTTAAGGATTGAAAAGATAAGAAAGTATAGGCAAAATACGAGGGCTATTTATTCTGGGCCACCCGATATATATCTCAAAACATGTGCATCTAGAAGAATAAACACAATCAAAAACAAATGTGAGTACCAGTAGCTTATCGGTCAAAACTTTTAGAAAAATGACCGGTCATCCCGCTTGTGACCAATGATACTGGTCACAGTTTTGTTGACGAGTCGCATCTATGCTTCTCGTAAACCGTCTAATAAGCTATACATATAAGGAGAAAATAATAATAGACTTTCTATTGAATATGAATAATAAAATATTTTTATTGAATAATAAAAATTCAATCGACCAGCTATTGTCGGCCTTTTAGCGGACTGTCTTAACTTGCCAGACATAAACAAGAGGCCTGTTGTTCTTGCAAACAGAGAAAAAAGACGTGCATCTGACAGCACATGACAATAGAACAAACGCAAGTGAAAGCACAGAATAAAAAACAGTAAAATCGAACGACAGCTGCGAGCACACGATACAAAACAAAATATAGACAGACACAACCTCTCTCTATCACGTCATCACTTCATCGTTAATCTGTGATTGTGCTACTAGCCTCTCCATTCTCTTATTTAACTTTTAAGAAAATTTATGGCAAATACAACAACTATGTCTTACTAGAAATAACCCGTGGAAAACCACGGACGCCCAGCATTTATATATGTTGTAAAAATTTTCTATGTTGAGCGTTCCGGACAGAAGGACAGATATGTGTATATTCTTATTCTTATGTATATATGTTGAGCGTTCCGGACAGACAGACAGACAGACGGACAGATATGTCTTGACTATTCTTATGTCTTATGGCGCAGGCTATCCGACACTGCCGATGAATGTGGAGTTCACATTGAACAGAAATACCCACAGGTCTTTTTCAATGCTTTGAGCATGGTTTTTTAGCTGAAAGCGAGGTCTATTTTTCACAAAGACCGCCGCAATTCACGTTACTTCTTCTAAGAACAAGAAACAAATGAACTAGACGTACAGCGAAAAGCAATAAAAACGTTGGATCCATCCTGTCTATCTTCGAAGCAACTGCTCTTGAAATTAAAACAGGTAAAGTTAACGCAAGACTGCTACGATATTTTACACAGCCTACTCCGAATTCTATTGCATTAGAAGTATAATCACACACGGATTTGCAAACTAAATTTATTAATAGAAATCTCATAAAAGAACAGTGAACAAAAATATTTTAAATCCAGTCAGCTTTTTTAAACTGAACATAGGTATAGTTTGTAATTAGCTCTACGCTATAGGTTATTGTTCAAAACTTTTTGAAAAAATTCACTAACAACGTATTTCATCTTTGAACTATCGTGTCCTGCATCTGATACAATATCAAATTTTACTTTTTTCAAACCAATTTCTTGCACAAAATTTCTTTCCAATCTCTCAGCCGTCTTCAGCCGATGATCTCTAGCTCCCACACAGATTTGAATCGGTAGAGTTTTGAGTGTCTGCACGTCGACGTCACCGAAAATTGTACTTAGATCTTTTGTTCCACTCGGCCATGCCCGGCTCTCATCGATCAGTGTAATTGAACCTGGTGCACCAACTGAGAGAGCCAGCAATCGATTTGCATGTAAATAGGCGAAACGATGTACGAACTGGCCACCAGCACTATAACCATGGAGAAGAAATTTTCGAGTATCGATATTCGTATTTTTAATAGTAATTTCATCGATCATATCGAGTAGCAGGAGATCGTACCGGCGATTCGTCGATGAATCAATCAGTTTCTGATAACTGTAACCTTCGGGAAATAATGGAATGAAGAGTGCACAATAATTGCGGTCAGCAAATTCTTTGTAGGAATCGAACATTTCGTCAACCTTACGATGGAGACCGTGTATGAGAACCACGAGTTTAACTTGGTGTTTGACGGAAGCGGCAGGTGGAATATAGAGTGTGGAAGAGAAACGTCTATCCTGACTGTAAATTGTCTGGATCGAACGAAAACCTAAATTAAGAAAAAAACATTCGACTTCAGTTTGTTAGAAATGAATGCCGTCAAGTGTTGTAACTCTTGGTTCAACATAACACAAGTACACAAAAAAACGTGCATCTATTCCGTTTTGCTCGACCGAATGTTGAAGAAAAAACAAAAAAAGGAAAACACACCATACACTCATAGTGTTTGAGTAGTAGTGAATAAACACAATTGAAAAAATGAATACAAATTTAATTCTAGTACATTTGCAAGTAAGTTTATTTGAAGTTTCTCAAAATGATGTGGACTACAGTATGAGCAGATTATATGCGTAAGTGAAACTAGGCATGCAACGATAACGGTTATCGTCTCACCGATTATCGGTCCTTACCGATTTAACGTCCAACTCAAATCAAAAACACTTCATGAATGTAAGTGTGATTATGTAGAAATTGTATTTCATTTCTTAAGAAATGAAAACACTATTGAAATCCACTCTACTGACTCTTTTAGCTGATAAAATATCAGGAGAAAAGCATTGACTTTGATCGTTCTTTGGTCAAGGTTACACTGTGAAAGTCTTTAACTTTTCCACATTTGTAAGAAGACGAAAGCCTTGAGACTCTTACGGTAGTTCCTTTTATAAAATTTGGATTAAAACTGACTGAGTTATGAAGAATAAATTGAACGTGTCTAGACATTGCCAAGAATCGAACAGAAACATATCTTTTAGACATACCGTGCATATCTGAGAAGAGACATTTTATTTGCTAGTTCTCTGGTATAAAGGAAAGAAAAAAAAAAGAGGATAAATAAAGAACGTTAGCTGAGAGCATGAGTTTATTCTCAGTACAAACTCACTCTCTCCATTCTGATTTTGCTTTCGATCGCTAGCAAGCGTTAGAAACTTTATTGGTTTTATCGGTAAGAAGCGATACTCGGTAAAGAAGCGATAATCGGTAAGAAGCAATAATCGGTAAGATATGATAAAACCGATAAATTATCGTTACCGTTGCATGCCTAAGTAAAACTATAAATTATGGCGCCTCTCTGCTTTTATTATAAAAATGCACGATTTGGAAGTGAGACTTTGTTGAGGAGAAAATTGCCGCCCTCAAAATGAGACTCGCAAGTCTTTGTAACCTTTATTCACTGGATTGTGCGTCTTTTAAAAGTAACAACTAATTTTTAAATTATAGAAAAAAATTAAGTTTCTCAAGATTTATCTGGTTCTGAAAGAACCGGATTTCTTTCTTCTCAAAGTATAGAATTTTTTATTTCATAATCCGCTTTTCCTCTCAGTAGAAATTTTGTTTTTGCTCTAACCTTTAGGCAGAGTAACACTTTTCAAGAAGAAAAAAAAACATCTGAGAAATGTTGTAGTTATTAGGGTAAGAATTTCAGCTCGATCATATGTAATTTTTGGTCAGGTCGTAATATAGGCCAGGAGGTCTTTGTAAGAAGAGCACAGTTCAGACAGTTTTGCTTATTAGCATCTACACAAAACTCTAGTGATTAGAAATATTCTTTCTTCATCTTCTTTAGAAGTTTCATATAAGAAAGTAAAACGTACGAACAGCTGACGACCGAGAACTTTAGTCAATTAGAACGCATATTCTTCATATTTCTAAAGCAAAATTCTTCACAACTCTGCCCTCTCACAAAAACAATAAATTCACTTACCAGAGTTTCTTTTTCTGCTGGATACACATGAAACACAAATTAATAAAATAAGAATTAGTTTCAACATTATTGATTATTGTTTATTATAGAAAGTGAAGAACACAAGTTGAATTGAAGATAGAAAAAGAAATGTATGAGAGTGTGTTTTGTTTCACCCCACTTATATATCTATCTTCTGATCTGATGAAGAGATAGATATACAGAGAGAGAGAGAGAGAGAGAGAGAGAGAAACTATTTTTTGTTATTGAGAGATGGACTATAGATTCCAGGCGTGTTATACAAAAGATAAACACAAACAGACAGATCAAATCGTTTGAAACTATTATATAATATATAGTTGGACTAAATGACAAAAGGCAAATGCTTGTCACTGTTTGACTGTAAGTCAGAGTCTTATTCTGCAAAAATGATAGTGGATTTAACCGTCGACGGTGCGATTGTTCGAAGCTACGACAGAACGAAAAGAAAGAGCCATAGCCAATAAGTATAGTTAGACTATATTCACATTGTACGCCTTTATTTCTTTTTTTTCTGTTCTTAAATAGAAAACTTATAATAGAGCACTAGCAAATAAGGGGATATCTCTTTTCGCACATGCATATCTTTCTGTTCTCTTTCGTTTCAATCGACGCGCTGAGACAAAAAAATGTTGGCACACGAGATATCGTATGTGAAAAGAGATATCTCTTTATTTGCTAGTGCTCTAATAACAGTGGCCGACTTTCGTGTCTTATTTCTTGCAACATTCTTCTCACTTGCGATTTCAGACAAGAATCTTAAAATTTGTCTTGATAGATCAAGCACAATTCTTCTTTTAATTTTTTATTCTTTTTTCGTGTAATATTCTTGTCGGAAATGGCAAGATTCGTTGCCGATAAAATTATCAATTTGTTTTCCTGATTACGGTACTAAATATGAGTTATATAATATAACTCAATACTATATATAGAAGTCTGTAAAAATTACTGTAAAACTTCTTACCGAGAATTCTCTATCGAATAAGGTGCAGAAAGTCTGAAAAAAAGTCCGATAACTTGAGTTATAGCTGGTGCAGCAAGAGCAGATTCCATTTGAAACTGTATAAAACATCAGAAAAATATGCTTTTTTTCCTTTTATCGTCATTTTTTACACAGGACCAAAGCCAGCTTTGCAATCAACAACTAAAACTATGGGACTAGAGATTTTTCTCAGCTTTTCTTCCTCTACTCGTCTGCGTCCTATGCGGGATAATGTTGAAGTTATTCTCAGAAACAACAGAGGATCGAAAACCCACTAGCATCGACTTACGAATCCTTTTCTGTTCTTTTTTAAACGCTTTTTTCATAGCTTTAGCAATACAACGATTTTCAGATGTATTGGTAAATAACTATTGCTACAAGGATACTTTCTACAAATACACAAGAAAACAAGTTTTCTATAAGGTTGTCTTGGTGTACCACGTCCAGTAATGAAATGTCCACACCTCTGGACATTAGGGGGGAGTGACATAGAAAGAACTAATTTTAAACATATACACATTCTTTCTTTCTGTTCTTTTCTTTTAAGGTGCAGTATTTTATTTTTCGCCTTTTTGCCATAGTTGGATTTTATCGAGTTGCATAGAAAAAACTTGATCTCTCAGTTTTGGAACACATTTTTTCAGTTAAAAAAATTTTAAATATCGATTTTTCAAAAATATGTGAAGATAGGCAAAATTTTGAATAAAACTCAAAATGCAACCATTCATTTTATTTTTAAAATTCCCAAATAATTTTTTTTACTCTCTATCAAAAACTGGGTCTAGAAAATGGATTTTGGAGATTTTTAAACTGAAATTTACTTCGAGAATAGTTGAAGACGAGCAGGATGGTAAAAGGTCCGCTGGCTAATCCTGCGAGCCTGTCTAGTCCTAGGATTTGGAAGATAAAATTCTCGTTCATACTTCATTCTCACTTATACTTATGAGAGAAAAATATGTACCGATTTGGAAAAATTTTACGTCGTTGTCGAAAAATTGAATTTTGAGGAATTCGGTGTGAAAAACTCTAAAATTGGACGTGTACTTTGTCATTTTCTGGGCTAAAATTTAACATTTTGACAAGAACAAGGTCATTTTCAAATTCAGGGGCAAGAACTGAGTCGAATGACATTAGTAGCAGCAGTTTTCAATGACTTCGAAGTTTTTCGTTATTTTCAAAAATCAAAATCAGAAACCAAAATTTTAACTCAATCTCCATATATTCCCCAAAACACTTAGACCCATGTCATTCGATCCAATTTTTGATCCTGGTTCTGAATATGAACTTGTTCTTCTCAAAATGTTGAATTTTGTTCAGACAACGCAAAAAGTTTGTGTTTTTCATGTTGTGCCCCCCTAATGTCCACTCCATTCTATATACCAGCTAAGTTGCTTGATAATTTATACAGTTATAATAACAAAATGTTTATTCTAGGCGACCTAAATGCTCGACATCCTCAACGGAATGTTATCACTATAAACAGTAAAGGAATAGTGTTGGTTGAATAGTTAGACCATTGTGATGATTTGAAAGTATTCAACTCTGACATGTCAACGTCAAGGAGGTCACAAGCTATAATTGACTTAGTGATAGGACCTGCCAATTTGTCCTCTGATCAAGCTGATCCAGATCATACATTTGAACTCAGTGATCATTTTCCTGTCAATTTGAATTTAACGTCGATTCTTGTGGACCACAGTGATGCATTTACCGTGAGAAAGACAGATTGGACATTGTTTAAACTGTTTCTAGAAGCTACACAGCCATATTGGCACAAGCTCTATGATCAAATGAAAGATTGTCCAACAGAATTTGTTCATATATATGAAAAATTTCTTGTTGCATTACAGGAGAGATGCACACCCATGTTAAGTGCAAGAAAATATCGACCAACACTACCAATTTATCTAGTGAAAGTAATACAACACAGAAAGCGTGTATTGAAAAGCTGCAGAATCACACGATCAGATAATTTAAAAGAAATCCTAAATTCTTTAAACAAATACATCAAAACAGAGTATAGAGAAATCCGCAAAGCTCAGCAGGAACAATATTGCTTACAGTTAGAACCGAAAAATACAGCTAAATTTTGGCAGCGAATCAAAAATTTATTCAAGCAACGAATACCACCAATCATAGGTTTCATAAAGGATTCAACAACAGCTCAAGTGATTGTAGATTACAATCAAATGATTGAACATGCTTATAATTACTACTCAAACTGTTTCAGATCTCATCATTTTGAATTCGGTTCTTCATGCAAAACACAACATGAATATAAAATAACTGATTTAGTTAATAATCCATCTCACAGTCTCGATCAGATTCCATCACCATCACTTATTTAAAATCAATGATTTAAAATATGCTATCAGAAGAATAAGGACTCTTCAGGACCAGATAAAGTATCCAACAAACTGATCAAAACCATTCCATCATCCCATTATTCTTTTATTTTATCCGCATTTAATAAAATGCTTGTATTAAATGTCCACCACACAGGAAAATCAGTAAGATGATCTTACTACGAAAAGAAAGAACATCAGTAAACAATACAAGACTTATCTCATTGCTCTCATGTCCAAGAAGATGTTATGAAAAATGCTTCTTAATATACCTTCGTAAATGGATTGATAGCAACGGAATCTTGCCACCTGAACGATCCGGTTTCAGAAATCATTCCACAACATCACGTTTTACCCAGTTATCTTCAAAATGTCAAGTCCGCCTTAGAACAACATACGGCAGCAATTTCAGTATAGTATGATTTCTCTAAAGCGTTTGATCAATTATGGCATGATGGATTGATCTATAAATTGTGTGAATTGAACTACCCTAAAGAACTGGTACAATTTATCCATATGTATTTACAGAATAGACATTCTTATATTGAAATGAATAGTATTAGGTCAAGCACCTTTGATATACACCGAGGGGTGTCTCAGGGTTCCTGTTTGGGCCCAGTTCTGTTCATACTGTATCATTCTGAATTACCATCACCACTTAGTGAATCCAGTCTCACTTATACGCAGATGATCGACCATCGCTGTGGTGATTGAAGGGGCAATTTGCTAGTAAAATGCAAGAGTCAACTCAGAAAACAATAAATCAGGTGTTGGAGTACTCTACTATATGGAACCAACCTATAAATATCATAAAAACTCATTGGCAATGGCTCCATAGAACGACCTATCTACCCAAAATTCAACTGAAAATCGGACTTAAAAATCTCAATATGTTCAAACTATTAGGTTTCCACGTTGATTCACGGCTATCGTTCAACATACACGAAAGAAATGTTATCTAAAGTGAAAACAAATACGGCAATGTTAAAATATGTGTCTAGATCAAAAACATCCTCATTAATCAGCCGACAATTGATTTTTAATGCATTTGCACTTCCGTTTATGCAGTTGCTGTATGTTGTTTGGCCTCTGCTAGGTAATACATTAAGAAATTCAATTGAAGCTGAGAACCGCCAACTTTACAGATATGTTCATTTATGATTGGATGCGACTAATGATGAAATTAGCTGGAGTAATAAGTTTAAAACAATAAATCACAGGGCACATGTTTTCTTATTACGCTTCCTAATGAAATCCTGTAGGCACTATCCAGAATTTTTAGAAAGTTATGTACAACATGAAACACCAAACTGTAATTACAAATGAATAGTGAATCACATTTTATTCCATATCTTCCCCAGGGACACCAACGAGACACATTCAGCATTTACAAGAATCACAAAAGTCCTACGTTGCGAGACTATTGACCTTCCTTTATCCAGACAACACAGGAAAAATTCATTGAAAAAATAGTCCTTGACTATAGAAAACTGTATTACACTAAACCTATGTAAATCATGTAAGGGGCTTCAGGTCAATATGATTTGTTCTTTTTTCGAATGAAATATTCTTATCTTCTATAATTCTCATAAGCATTGGTAAGTATATAATAACATGTTACTTTCATCGGAGACGACCATTTCAAAGTTGAGCCAAACCATATAACGATTAGGCATCCAACAATCCCAAGCCAGGGCTCGCTGATCGGCACTGAACATGTTCGGTCACCAAACGGTTCGTAGCTGAACATGTTCACTGCCGATCAGCGAGCCCTAGCTTGAACTTATTGCATGGCTAGTCTAGACTAAAGGCAAACGGAATGAAATTTAAGTTTTTGAAGGAACTAACCAGTGAGAAAATAGGCTAACTAAAGTACAACTTGAACGAATGTGTGTTCTACCGGATCGCTACCGAACATGTTCGATCAGCGAATGTACTTACGCACACCTCACTTTTTTTGGGGTGGCCTTCTATTTTGGGCGGATAATTCATTTTCAAAAAATATATGTGTTTAGAGGGGTGTCAGAATATCACTACGCAGTGTATTCTCAAAAGAGACTGTTTTTTTCAAACTTGCTGGGCCTGGTGCATTCTCGTGCATTCCAGCTGAGAATACACCAAGCCCAGCAAGCGTATTCTCACTGACCGTACACGAGAATATACCAGAATACGCAAATACATAAATTTCTATAAAATGTGCCGGGCTTGGTGTATTCTCACTGACAATACGCAAATCTTGCATAGTGACTCACTTTCATGCTGCATCTTCCCCCCCTTCCCCCCGACCGCGACACTATATTATGTATTGTCAATACTTGCGTATTCTGGTATATTCTCGTGTATTGTCAGTGAGAATACACCAAGCCCAGCAAACCCAGCAAATAGTGTCTTTTTGAGAATACACTGCGTACTGATATTCTGACATCTCTGGCCTTTTAATTCATCTTTCCTAACTTTTATGTGAAATAGTCTGTTATAAGTAGGACTATAAAAGTTCCCGTCACGTTGATTTAACGCTAACTGAAAATACAGTTACCGTTAAAACAACGTAACTGTCTTTCCAGTTATCGTTGTTTTCACGCTAGCTGCGTTTGCAGTTACCGTGGAAATAACGGTAACTATCAGTTAGTTAACTTTGTGGTAATTATTATTTAAGTATGGCAGAAATATCCATGCAGCGGCTTAAAATGGCTTCCAAAATCGTTAGTTTTCCACTAAAACTGTTGAAACTTTCATAAATGACATGGTTTTGATTGTCACTCACGTGCCAGTCAACTAAACTGAACGAAATTATATAACTTAGATGTTTTGTAACTGCAGCTTTTAAGATTTCTGGAGACCTCAGCTTCTACAGCCAGCGTAAGAAATCTTTTTGTTTTCATCAACGAATTTAGACTACAAAACCATGTCATTCATGAAAGTTTCAACAGTTTTAGTGAAAAACTAACGATTTTGGAAGTCCTTTTACGCCGTTCCGTGGATATTTTAGCATACTTAAAGAATAATTACCACAAAGTTAAAGTAGCTGAGAAAAATAAAATGATACCAACTTTCATTAGTGTATGGTACACTTTTAATGAGAATTTTTAAATCTTACACTTCTTCTTCTAGTAATCTATTCTTCGTGATTCGACTCAAAATGATTGAGAAAGACTAAATTCTGAATAGATCGAAATGAAGAATTAAATGATTAGTAAAAATAAAAAATAAATATAGTTTAAATCAAATAATTGAGATCACAGAAATGTGACACAGATAATGAATGTTATAAAGTAGCGTTATAGTATCCAAGCACGTGTAATACAACTACACATTCGAAATATTTCACCACGTGAATAATGCTAGATAAGATGAAAACCATCATATTATTCTTCAGAACATTCTGATATGAGAACTATGCCCTTGACAAGAAACGTAAGTTGCATACTGTCGTTGTCAAAACTCAGGTGACATATTGATGTTGTCATGCATTTATATATTTACGAAGCATAAAGATAAAAAAGCAAATTTTTCGTTTGTAGAAGATATTCAGGTTGAATAAAATAAACTATGTATATGTTGACATAAATATCACAAGATGGTAGACATTACTTGGCAAACTATTAGTCTGTTGACGATATTATGTAGTATTGCGACGTTTTTCTACTATCAGTTGAGAGCTCGACAGCTTTGTACTGACGATGGATCTGCTCACATTCCCTATTTACTTCCTTATTTCGGTCATGTATTTCAATATGTACCTGATCCGTTAAACTTTTTATTGTCATGTCGAAAACGTTATGGTACAACGTTCACTATTAAACTATTTGGCCAACGGATAACATACATTACTGATCCAAGAAACTGGAATAATGTTATTAAAAACCCTAATCTGGGATTCCCAGGTGAAGAACTGGGTTCAACAGTATTCGGTATTAGACCGGACGCTTCAGGTAAGCACAAATAGTGTCAGTTTCAAGCATATCGAAATATAAAGTGTTTCATTCAGCTCGACCAGAAATGAATGAAGATCTACACAAAGTATTTCCAAAATATTTACAAAACGACGGTCTTAAAGAATTGATCAAAAATTTTGTACGGCACTTTCGTGAACAAATGATAAAAGATAAAAAAGCGATGAATGGAAATTTTAAAACATCCAGCCTATATGAACTATGCCATTTAATGATCTTTGAAGCGTCGACTCGAACACTATACGGTGATATCGATGCAAAATCACTTGATAAGCATTTCCGACAGTTTGACAGAGATATTCATTTGTTTTTTATGCGTTGTCCGTCGTTTGTCCTTTCGCTACTTGTGCGAAATGGAATGAAAGCTCGACAGTGGTTAGTCGAATTCTTTTCAACAATCGGTCATCTTCCAAATGAGAGTGGTCTGACCACACTACGAACGAATATACAGGAATCATACCCACAATACTTTTCACCTTTGGACATTGGTGGAAATCATTTAGGATTTCTATGGGCTTCTGTAGCAAATACTATTCCAGCCGCATTCTGGACATTATTTTATTTACTGCGGGATAAAGTAGCGCTTGACGCTTTGCGTGCAGAAATCAAACAGAATCTACCTTTATTATCGTTGGACGAAAATGATGAGTTCGATGCACACGCTTGGACTATTGAAAAGTTGTCGGGATGCGTTTTGCTGGAGAGCGCGCTTAACGAGACGATGCGCATGTTCGGCGCTCCTATAATGCTGCGCAATTGTTTGTCAACGACACGTGTAGAAACGTTTGATGGAAAAACCATTCACATTCTAAAAGGTGATCGTACTGCTCTGCTGCCTGCGGCATCTCATCTTGACGAACGGCTTTTTTTTGATCCATTCACATATAAATACGATCGCTTTATAAACAACAAGATCTTGAACGATTTGGAACTTGACGGGCAAAAAGTGCCAATTGCTTATATGCCATTCGGAAACGGAAAAACAATGTGTCCTGGCCGTTTTCTTGCGAAGAGCGAAATTAAAATATGTCTAGTATTGATTTTGCAGCACATAGAATATATGTTTTTGGAAACAACAGTACCGAAAACACGAGCTGAACGAGTCGGTTTTGGTGTAGCCCCACCAGAGAAAGATATAAAAATTCAATATCGTTATCGATAATATTAATAATACCACTCAAGTTATTACTCGTAAGCAAGTTTGATCTAAACCACGCAATTGGGAGCAAAAATACGGCGAAGTTAGACTTCTCTTCTGATGCTTATTCCAAGAGAGTGAAGTATTTTACTCTTAAAGCAATTTGCTTAGACGTTTAATCGTTCATTCTGTTATATTTGCTGATTTTCACCTCTTGGCTGATATTTTTAGTGTTGACAATGAATATGATGTCCGTTGCGGCAAACAGGCTTTTCTATTCTGTGTTGCACAATTCTATGTTTTCCAGAGGCATAGCTCGAAATTACTCTAGTCGTATAGATGTAAGAAATACGAGCAAGATTTTCTGATGTAAATGAGAGCGATAGCCAATTTGTCTTAAATTATTGAAGTATTATATCAATAGTTTAGGCAAAATATTATTGGCTACCTGTCCAAAATGAGATTTTCAATTTTGCCTAGACAAAACATAAATCCTTTTTCTAAACAGTACGCATGTGCTAAATACTGGTTTATCGCCGATGAACTATCAAAATACCGGCGGTATTCGCCAGACTTTTCGGTATATCATCGCTTACCGATGGTAGCTTGTATATTCAGGAAAGTCTGCACTTCGAATCCGCATTATGCAAACAACTTCATTTCCAAAACGTTTTCGGTATGAGTATGAGTATACTCATACAAGGGAGTCCTCATGAATATCGGGTGCAATGGACACACGAAGGTCTTACAAAAATTCAGAAGATAAGAAATTCTGCAATTCTCTTCTATATATTTTATGCCTTCTGATTCTCAAAATTTTAATAATGGCATCAAAGGACTGTCTTCAAGAAGAATTGAAAGTCATCTAAAAAAAAAAGCGAACATTACAAGAAAATATTCTATATTACTCACAATTGTTTGAAACTGTGCAGATAATCAGTCTTGATAAAAACTTTTGCCGAATGAGCAGCACGGTTTTACTGAAAGTTTTTAAATACTATTGAATGAACGATAAATTTGAGAAACGGCAAGAAAAATGCTCAAAACTAAGTTAATCATTGTAAGAGTTAATATATGAATGTTTGAAATTTGGAAGAGGTAGGAGTGGGGGACGAGAGTAAGTGACGAAATACCATTTCGAGCTTACCAAGAGCGTGGACTTTTATAAATAGGAATCTAGTCTCTATCCTCCATGCACATAGAGATATGTGTAGATGATTTACTCGGAGATTGTGTTGGGTATCGATACATTATTTTATATCATTTTTAAAGTATCCACCGACCATCAGAGAAATACTTAAATGATACGTAAGGCGCCGCTAATGTACAATTACGGCACTATTTTATCTTCTCAATATTCATACAGAGGAGAGCGAACTGAATTTGAAAATCAGCTTTAAAACCTTCCAAGACCTTTCCTTCATGCTGGAAAACAAAAAATACGGAAAGATGCTAAAATCGAGAAAACTCGTCCTTTGAGAAAAATGATGATAGTTTTTTCTCATTGCATTTCGCAGCTTTCACTAGTCGATAATCAGTTAGGTCTGAATAGCTGAATCAGCTTTCCAGTTTTTTCAGCGCTGAATCGAGGTCTGAATCAGCCCTGAAAAACTGAAAATTATTTTTTCACAAAAACATGTGTTCTGATCTTTTTCTTCTTACGGATTTCGAGCTGGATATCCTGATCAGTAGTTTTATGGCTGATTCAATTAATCTGATGATCCTGAGTAATAATAATATTTCATTGTGTTAATTCATACTAATAAGTCTATATAAGCTAGGCTTGTTCGTGCGACAAAAGTTAGATATTTCTCCGTCTTGATTTACAAAATAATAGTTTATTGTCAAAGTGAACACAACACACAAAAGCTTCGTCGCATTGTCCTTTTGTAATTCACTCGAACAGTAACAGCTGTATTAGTTTGAACAGTAGCATTAGCGTAAAACCGACTTTTTATACGGGGAACAGAATCGGTTCAAATTTTTTTTCTGAAGAACTTATTATGTGAATCGACGGGCAGCAAAGTATCTCTTGATTCAAATCACTTTTCGCATTTTGGCGCGAATAGTGGCGCCACTTAAAACGCGCTACTATTC